GGATGGAAAACTTCACAGGTTCAAGTTGGGATGATGACTGGTGTCCATGTAGGTGACTATATTTTAATCCTGGAAAACAGTAACAGTAAGTACAGTAACAATACAGTCAAACTCACAGTAGTCATAATTATGTAAAGAATAATTGGTGCATATTTGATACTTATGTATCTAATGTTTATGTTATAATATGTAATTGAGTAACAGATTTCATTTTATATTGAGATCTATGTTTACAAACAACGTTTGAATACTTAATAGAATTTACTCCTCTATCCTCCCACCTTTTTTTTTTTAAGTCTTAGATTCAGGAGATTTAACAGCATCTGGAATGATTTGTTAACAATATTAAAGCAGTTATAATAACCGTATGAACAGTTTAAAACCTCTATAGGAATCTAACTTGTAAATCTCCCCCAGCCCAAACTTGACTGTAACAACCTTACAAGAGTTACAAGTTTAATAAGATTTTAACATAAAAAGAACAAGGCTTCTCAAGTTTGAACTGCAGTGTTTTAATAAATCAAATATATTTAACAACTAATGTAGCACCTGAAATAATATTTTCTGTGTAGAAATGTCACCCTTAAGAATATTAGAATCTTACATTGATATACAAATCTAGGTTTAAATCCTTGCAAAATCATGACACATGATGACACTGGGCTGAATTCTTGCATGGCAAAAATGTTCCCTTCTTGAGATGGTGCATAAATTTTCTAGTTCACCATAGTCACTCCACACACCTCCCCACCCCCACCCACATGAGGGCAGTCACTTGTTTACCTTTACACCCCTAGTCCTCATAAAGGCATTTGCAACTCATGCATCTAGAGCAGTGATCCTCAGCCAGCGGTAATAATGTCTCCAGGGGCCAGCTGCAATGCCTGGAGATATTTTTGGTTGTTATAACTATGAATGGGTGCTATGAGTATCTAGTGTGTAAAGGCCAGGGATGCTGTTAAATATCCTACAATGCACAGAACAGACCCTAGCAGCAAAAATTATCTAGCCTTAAATGTCAATAAATGACATTTAAGGCTAGATAATGACCTGTAAATGACCTGTAAAGTCTAACACCTTTTTGGGTCATTTTATTTTATTTACTTTATTTTTTAATGTTAAGTGATGCTCATATAGAAAAACAATCTAAAATCCTTCAGTGTGGCACAGAGATCTTGCAATGACCTACTTACCTTTGTGTCCTGGAGAGTAACCCACTGGTATTATATGGGTCACAAATAACATCTTTTTTATTGTTTATAGCACCCTCGTTTGTACCTCAGTTCTTAAATTTGGTTTCTTTACTTCAAAATTTGTTCTTTATTTCCTCCAAGAATCCTTCCCTTTAAGATAATCTGCTTTGTTTCCCTCTAAACATCCTACCACTACTTCACATTTATGTCTTCAGTCCATGTGGAATTTATGTGCTGGAACTCAGAGATGAAATCTGGTTTCCACATGAATCCATAGCTTCAATAGCATTAATTGAATAGTTTCTGTTTCTCTACTAACTGATAACACCAACTTTATCATATACTGATTTTTCCCATAAATTTTCATCTGTTTCTAGGCTATTTTCTGTTCATTCCTGTGATGTCATTGTAAGTTATACTTCTATCAGGAAACCTACTATATGACATGATTCCTTCCTCATGCTTCTTCCCACATACTCTTACATATGAATTTCAGCATCAGCTCTCTTGGAAGGTTAGTTGAAATTGCACTGAATTTACAGATTGGCCAAAGATAACTGACTTTTCTCACTCATGAACTTTGTTTCCCTATTTGGATTTTTCCATGACTTTCCAGGAAGTTAAACGCTTTCTCCATAATGATGATAGACTCATTCCCGGATGCTATATATGGTTTGGTTTTGAGGTTTCTGGTTTTCCAGTAACTTTAGTTTGGATCTCATACACAGCACACTTGCTGACGTAGCTTAACAGCTTGTCGGAAGATTTTCTTGGATTTTTACTTAATCTTATCACCTACAATATTTTCTTCTGCAATATTTATTCCTAATTTTTTTATCTCAATATACTGGCTCTGATCTCTAGTTCAATTTCAGAGTGCATGTCTTCACCTTGTTTGTGGCTTTATAAGGCATTACACCTCTCTGCTTCACATTTAAATGACTTTTTTCTTTCTACATTTTTGGCAGATACTTTTTATCAGGTTAAGGAAGTTTTATTCACTTAGTGGTTTTCTAAGTTTTTAACATAATAAATGTATGGTACTAAGCCATTTATAATAATAAAAAAAAGCAGCTTTCTTCTTTAAGCCTGCTCCGTCTTCTTGGAGGACTTGTCCTTATATTTGGAAATGCAGCCAGAAAGCCTTCCTCCATCTTTGAACCTGCCTCCTTTTCATTCCCAGCACTGCTCAGCATCTTTCAGGGAAATCCACTTAGCTTAAATCGCCTTTGACTGGGATGCTGCTCAGTCTTCAGAGATTAGCCCAATCATAGGAAGAGCTTAAGGGCCTGAAAAATTACTTCCAACTATTTCACAGATAGTTTGCAAGAAATAAAATTCAAAGTCAGAAGCCAGGCTATAACTGTGGTCAACACATAGATCAAGGAATTAATCTCTCTCAAGATCCTGGAAAAATATGAACAAGTCTCAACATTCTATTCTCTTCAAGCTTTTATTTAGCTCCTTAATTAATGAATGAACTAGTCCTGCAAAAATACTAACACAAGGTAGCCAAAAGTTTCCAAGTGGCTGAGACAGAAGGAAGACAATCTGAGTGTACATTCTTACATGTGTGAAGGAAACTTCTTCCATAAAGGAAAACCTCTTGCAGTGTTAACTATTGTGGGCTTATAAACAAAGATTCAGCAAAAATAATCTCTGGGGCCTTATAAAAATGAAATGACATCTCAATGTTCTTTTGCATTTTTTTTCTGCAGTAAAAGCAGTTTTGAACAGCTGGCTTTTCCTTTGTTTCTTCATTATTTCTGTGCCACAGTTACTGGGGGACACTTTTTATTTTAGTCTCTTTATCCAGAACATTTTACGTAGGCAACATGCCTTGAGTGAATCTCTCTCTCTGTGTAACCAATTAACCTGTAAAGTCTAACACTTTTTCGAGTCATTTTACTTTATTTATTATTATTATTTATCATCACTGAAGGATCTTTTTCTTTGCTTCTAGAGAGAGAGGAAGGGAGAGAAACATTTATGCGAGAGGGGAGCATCCATCAGTTGCTTCCAAATGCACCCAGGCGGGGGATGGAATCTGCAACCTAGGTACATAACCTGATGGGAATCGAACTCTCAATTTCTCAGTTACAAATTGATGCTCCAACTAACTAAGCCACATTGGCCAGGGAGAGAGTCATTTTAAAAGCCACAGGTTGCTTGTTGATTAACCAAGCAACCCAAAGTATGATTTTGAACTTTAATTTTTTTCTGTATGAAAAAGTTATACATCTATTTTTTTACTCACAAAGTTATACAGGCATACCACAATCTCTCTCTCACCCAAACATGTGGGGGATTGGGGTGGGAATGTGTGGAGAACACTGTTCTAAGGAGGCAAAGAAAAAGACCAATCTGGCGATGGGGTAGTCAAATCCAATTTTCTTACTCACTTTTATTAAAAGCAGCTGATTAATGACTTGTAGTGGGCAAACAATGTTATTTATTTAAAAAGCAATTCTCAATGGCCTTCCCCTTTGAGTTGTTTCTATACAAATAAGTTATTTTATGTATTATTTCCTTTCTTTGGTAAATAGAAGAGTATTTGCCTGTCTGGTTTTTCACTTTGATACCTTTATTAGTATCAAGTTAAGTCTAGACCGATAATGAAATGTGCTCATCTGCCCATTTCTCTCACAAAAAAACAAAAGATATTAGATAAACTTCAAACTTCAGCTATGTCAAAAAATGTGACTCTACTACATTGCCTAGTTGCAGATGTAAGAGATCAGAGATCCCTCAAAAATTACATTATAACTCAAAAATTACATTATAAATACAAACACATGTTCAACCTCTTACTGTAAGTTTTCTGCTCCCAAGAAACTTCCATGCAACTACCACTTACCTCATTTTTTTATGTAGCTGTTAGGTAAACCTCTTAAGGTTTACCTTAAGACTTCTTTAAGCACAGTAAATCTGTGTTTAGTTTGTTCCCTTCCTTGTATTTTCCATGTCAGTAGCTGCAGAGTATAGTAATAACACTGTCTTTAGCCCCATTTAGAGCAACTACACAGGCAAATAAATCCTTCCAAGATTACCACCTCTATTTTGATTTTAACAAGGGACCCCAAAACGTTATAATACATATAATGGCCTTGAAACAGATTAGGAGAAGGATGTGAGCCTGGAATTCTTATTTCTGAGGTAGAAGAGCTCCTTCCCAATGACTCCTTTTTGCTCATCCTCTACCATTCTTTCCCCCTCACACCTTTCCAACAAATAAGCCCTTTCGTAGCACTGAAGGAAAGTATAACACTTCTAGTCCTATAATAATACTGTTAAATCAAACACAGCATCCCCTAATTAGAGACCAAGTTTAAGGGGGGGGAGACCCTCCCTTTAAAATGTTCCCCTTTAAAAAAGGGGAAACTTCAGGATATCGACTGTCTTTACAACTGTGAAAACTTTCAAATTTGAGAAAAAAAGGTAAAAAGAAATCAATAGGCTAGAGTAGCCTTCAATACCGCTCGTCTACCTTCTTCCTTACTCTTGGAGGCTGCTACCAGCTGACTCAGAGTTCCCGCTTAGATGGCCTTAATATCCAGAGGACCCAACCCACCTGAAGCAAGCCAAAGACACCCCGCGCATCCTCCTCCGCCTTTAAGCGGCAGAGATGGGAGGGGCGGCCCTACGCGGAGCACCGGACGCCACACCCCAAGGGGCGGGGCTGCATCCCAGGAGGCAGGGGAAGGGGCGGGCACTATGACGTAATCAGGAAAGCCAGACCTGGTTGGAGGAAATTTAGAAGAGATTGGGACAGGAAGGAGGCGGAGTCCAGTTTCCCTGGTGACCGGTTGCCTGGCGGTCGCCTGGTAACCGGTCGCGGCAGTCCTGGCAGCTACCACGCAGGGCGCGTAAATCTGTGGGCTGGACCCCACGTTGGGCTCTTTCTGTTTGTCCCACGATGGCGGCCGCGGCGGCCGTGGTCACGCTGTCGGGTTTAGAGGATGGGGTGTCTCGGTCCCGTGGCGAAGGGGCTGGGGACGTGGTCGTGGAGCGTGGCCCCGGCGCGGCCTACCACATGTTCGTAGTGATGGAGGACCTGGTGGAGAAGCTGAAGTTGCTCCGCTATGAGGAGGAACTCCTGCGGAAGAACAACCTGAAGCCCCCGTCCAGGTGGGTGCAGTAGTCCTCGGAGCCTGGGGGCCGGCTGAGCCCTGGGAAGATGCCTTCCTCCTGCCTCTCCGGGAACGCCGAGGGAGGGTCCGTCTACCTATCCAGGAAAGGCTACTTGGCGACGGAGGGCTGCCCTGGAGCTCAGAGTTTTGTCTTGGTATTTTAGTAAAGAGAAGGAAGTTTTGAAACAGCAGAAAGCACTGGAAGACAGCTTCCTTGGTCTTTAAAGCACAAACGCACTTGCACAAATCACACACTTTTTTTCCCTTCTGATTATAAAAGTAATATAATAAATACCTGTTGTAGAGAACTCGGAAAAAAGACAAAAAATGTGTAGAAAAATACTAAAATCACCCATAACCTTATTCCCAAGGGCGAATGTCTTTATTGTTTTAGATCTATCTCTAGATTTTGTTTTCCTCTGCAAGAACCCGCTAGAGTTCCTGGGTATCTTGGACCTTGCCGAGCACTCTATATGAAGTTAGAAACTTGTTGACTAATGGCTATGGTTTAAAGGACCTTTGTCTTAGCAATAACAAACAGTACTCTTGAGAAATTGAGAGTGGAAAAGACAAATGAAATGACAACTGCTAGAATTGTCTCTATCATAGAACCTGAAGTTCTGCTCTTCTGGTGGGGAAAAGTTCATTTCCCAAAGCCAGTGCCTCTTTAGTTGTTTGATGTGTCATGTAAGAAGCAATCTAGGTTAAGACTCTAGTACTTTCTCTTAATGGTTATAGCTAAGGCTCAATTAGTTTCCCTCCACCATTTTGATCTTATTCCCTGTTCTCTTTCTGTAACTTGAATTATAAGATACGTAGGCTTTATGTAGCTTGTCCATATTATTAAGTCGGTACATAATAGAAGAAAAGTTAGAGGAAAAAGTAGTGTTGCTTGATCCATCATAGAAATTGTAGGATTGGGAGTTACTATTTAAATGAATTGATCAGAATAATATAAACAAACAACATTTTCTATGTCAAAGAATGCATTTTTCCCTAAGTATATTTTTCAAATTAAAAGAAAATGACCTAAGGGTTCTACTTATGTAGCTTCTGTACTATTTCCTCAGGAGTTTAGTGGAATACTTTGGATCATGGGTTTGGATGGAGGTCAGCATAACCTGGAAACTTATTAGAAATGCAGTCCATAGGCCCCTTCCCTGATCTACTGTATCAGAAATTCTATGGATGGGGCCTGGAAGTCTATGTTTTAACAAGACTTCCAAGTGATTCTTTTGCATGCTAAAGTTTGAGATACACTGCCATAGGTCTACAGAATGTGTCAGCATCCATTCCTCTGTCCTGGAGTTCTTAGTCATTAAGGAAAAGATTAGTTGTTACCAGCAGGTGCTTAAAGAGTTGTGAACATATACCTGCAAGGACTTCATGGCCTTTATTTTGTCCCAGCTTTCTGTTATCTTCCAGGACATTTATACTTATCCTGCAGGAAAAAACATGGGAAACATGAAGTAGAGTGCTGGTTTTTATTAAAAATAGCTATAAATATAATTATAAACAATAGCTACACATAAAAAAGCAAAATAAAGTCTTTAATCAAACTGAATAGAATGTTATATTACTAGCAAATTTTATTCCTAACAAGTTTAGGTAAAAATCATATTCATCCTCATAGGACTATTTTTAATAGGCTAGGGGATTTAGCAAAAGTCAACAAATGCAAATATTTGTTAGACTGGGGATGTGATTTTAGTAGTTCCCAATCCTGGCTATACCTTTGATCTATCTAGGAAGGTCTTGAAACATACTCATACTGGGGCTTCACTCCCAGAAGTTCTCATTTAATTCATGAGGGAAGAAATGTTTCGGCAGGTAGCAACAGTTCTATGAATATGCAGCCAAGATGAGAACAACTGTTTAACATAGCTGATAGACTATAAACAGTAAGTAAAGATACCAATGATTTTGTAAAAAAATATAAAAATGCATACTGAGTAATCATTAAGGTTTTTTCTTTAACTTCTGAGAGTCTCTTAAGTCCAAATTACCATTTTCAGAAAGTACTTTATTATTTCTGACACATAAATTATTTCGGTAAGAGTTTATCTGCTCAGTTTTTTAACATATCCTGCATTTTCCAGATGTAAAGTCTTTGATCTAATATTTCTTGTACAGTACTTATTGCCCTAATCCTGTTGATGAAAAACTTTTATGTGAGTGCTGTGGATTACTAGAAACTTCAAACAGTGAATTATCAATGTCTTTATTTTGAAGCTATTTTAGAAAAAAGTCTTTTGGCAGTTTTGGACTTAACTCTCAGTTACTATAGACTTTGCATTGTTTCACATTCCACCCTCCCCTCTTGTCTTGAACAGACACTATTTTGCACTGCCTACCAATCCTGGGGAACAGTTCTACATGTTTTGCACTCTTGCTGCTTGGTTGATTAACAAAGCAGGACGGCCCTTTGAGCAGCCTCAGGAATATGATGACCCTAATGCAACAATATCTAACATATTATCTGAGCTTCGATCATTTGTAAGTGTAAAGAACTCTCTTCTTTCTGCATGCTCTCAAATTGTGAATTTTAATATCGATAATTAAACAACAGAAGTGCTAGCCTTTTAGATGAATCCACTGTGAATAACTGTTTTTACATATGTACATACACATAGACACTTATACACATATATTCATATATATAAATATGTATATTTATATATAACTACAATTATATCTGGATTTATTTTAAGGTAAAATCTAAGAACGGTTGATATTTAACAATAATGACATTTATAAAAATGCTTTGTGTACACTATAGTCTAAAGTAATATTTTTCTTAATCTTGATATATTTCAGAGGTAAATTTGTGGATACTTAGTTTTCCTTCTTAAAAATGATATAAAAAAAACTACAAAGCTGAAACACTATGTTGAAAGAGAACTTTGTTTTAATACTTTCATGTCTGACTGTTCCTGGGTACTTTTCATTGTTTATTTTTCTGGAGATAGGCAGTAAGATTTTTTGACACACATATTATGTATGTTTGACAAGCGAATCACTCTGTCCTTCATATGGTTGTTTGAAAATATGATACCAAGCTAGTAGTTTTATTGGTTTTTACCCTAACAGTATCAGTGATTTGTTCTGCTGTCATGATGTGTTACTTCTTTTTAACTTGATACTTTTGACAACAAAATGTCTTTATTTTCCATTTTCTTTAGTTTTTTATGCATCAATGAGTTTAAAAAAACCCCTAGAGATAGACTTTTAAGAAGCAATGTAATTACTGTTATTTTAAATCATATTTGAAAAGTAGAGAAGTAATGAATTTATTCAGCAGTACTTTGCTTAAAATATTTTGACATTGGAATATAAATAACAAATAATAATACCGTGTTTATCTTTTGTATTTCAGGGGAGAACTGCAGATTTTCCTCCTTCAAAATTAAAGTCAGGTTGTGGAGAGCATGTATGCTATGTTCTTGACTGTTTAGCCGAAGAAGCATTAAAATATATTGGTTTCACTTGGAAAAGGTAAAATTTACCCAACAATAGTAGTTTTGTATGTGTAGCTTTTTCCTGTATGGGCACGGAGCTATTTAATTGAAGAGATAAGAAGTATTTCCTCTTGACTTTTCTAAACTGAAAATACCACAGGTGATTAGAAAAGTCAGTATGGACAAAATTAGAATATCTGCTGTCTTCAGAACCAGTTTTGATATTAATCATCTCTTTCTAGTTCAAATATATAATTACTAAAAGTTAAACTGTAATTGTTTTTCTTGTCAATTAGGAAATTTTTTTAAAGTCTCTGTATATGTATATGTATTTATATATACAAACATAATCTATACATGCAGATAACCGATAGCTGCAGATTTAAGGGAAAATGCAAATTAACATAGTACTTTAAATGGGATTTTTTTCCTTTGCTTAAAGTGATTGGGCAAGAAAAATCCTGAAGAAGCCAGCTGACACTCCCTTAGACATTGTTCGTTGCTTCCTTATCTGACCTCATAGTGCTGTGTTTATATTTCTATTTATCAAATGGTATTAAAGTAATTTGTTTACAGGTCTGGTTTTCTTGCTGAAAATTACGAAATCTTAATGTGTACTCTGTGGCTGTGAGCATAGTATATTGGTGTATTATAGATGCTCAATAAATGGATGAAGGAATAAAGTATGCAGAAACTATTCATTTAAATAGGTTATATAGGTTATAATTAGAAAATACAAATTTGGTCCTTTGAAGATTGAGATTATTGATAGGTTGGAGATTGTAGAAGGTTTCATTCAGGTAAAACATGAGTAACAGTGATTTTTGTTAGAACTAGCTTCAGGTAATTGTTTAGTGTGTATTCAGCTACATTCTCCCAGATACATTATAAACTCCCCATTAATAGGAACTTTTAAAAACTTACTTGACTTGGCATATCTGGTTGAACCTTCAGAAATTACTGCTATTCTCTTATTTTAAACTGAAAAATAGCAATGTTAATGCTTCAACCAAAACATTACCAATTGGTACAATATATAAAGAATGACTATGTGGTCCACATTATTTCTTTATTAGATTCCAAGAAGTTTTGTGTTGTGTGCTCCCTTTAGCACTTTTCGAAATTATGAACTCTATTGCCCAGTATATTCTAAAGCTAACAGAAGCTATTGGTTTCTCAACCACAGTTTAAGTTTGTACTTCCTTTGCTTTGGCACATCTTATTCTTGGCCCTGTTGTAATTTGGATAATGTATAAGGACTGTATAGTATACATATGGAAAAGAAAAGGGAGGGAAATATTGAAAATAGGCAGTAGAGAATATGTCAGCTAATATGTAAATTACATAGAATTTACATATTTATAGATGATTATTTTATATATCTAAATCTAACAAAATAAATCCTAGATTTATTTTAATGTAGATATTATCATGAGATATTATCTAACTTTAATTAATAAAAATATAGGAAATGTATCCTTTTTTTCCCGTTGCCATTTAGCCCCCTTGTACTCCCCTACCTCCCACGGTCACCACACTGTTGTCCACGTCCACGAGTCCTTTTCCTTTTTGCTTGATCCTTCTAACCCCTGATTTCTCTACCAGAGCTGTCATCCTGCTATCTATGAGTCAGTCTCTATTTTGCTTGTTAGTTCACTCTGTTCATTAGATGCCACATATGGGTGAAATTGTGTGGTATTTGCCTTTCTCTGATTGGCTTATTTCACTTAGCATAATGCTCTCCAGGTTTTTACAGCCGAGTAGTATTCTGTTGTGTAAATGTCCCATGGTTGTTTCAGCCACTCATCTATTGATGGACACTTCAGCAGCTACCAAATCGTGGCAATTGAAAATAGTGCTATAATGAACGTAGCAGTGCTTATGTTCTTTCGAATTAGTGTTTTGGGTTTGGGTAAAAAGGCAGATCCACTTTTCATTTTTTGAGGTATCTCCATGCTGTTTTCCACAGTGGTTGCGCCGATCTACATTCCCACCAACGGTGCAAAAGGGTTCCCCTTTCTCCACATCTTCACCAGCACTTGTTCATTTATTGAGCATAGCCATTCTGACAAGTGTGAGCTAAGATCTCACTGTGGTTTTAATTTGCACTTATTTCTCTGATGATTAATGACACTGAGCATCTTTATTATCTATTCTGCATTTATATGTCCTCTTTGGAGAAATGTCTATTCAGATTATTTGCCCATTTTTTAAGTGGGTTGTTCATTTTTTTGGTGTTGAGTTTTGTAAGTTCTTTATAAATTTTGGGCCCTGACTGGTGTGGCTCAGTGGATTGAGCATGGGATGCGAACCAAAGGGTCACCAGTCAGGGCACATGTCTGGGTTGTTGGCCAGGTCCCCAGGAGGGGGCACATGAGAGGCAACCACACATTGAAGTTTCTCTCCCTGTCTTTCTCCCTCCCTTCCCCTCTCTCTAAATAAATAAACAAACAAACAAACATATAAATAAATAAAATCTTTTAAACAAATTTTTGGATATTAACCTCTCTCTTATCATATGTATTGACAAGTGTGTTCTCCCATCTTGTGAGTTGTCTTTTTATTTTGTTTATGGTTTCCTTTGCTGTGCAAACCCTTTTTAGTTTGATGTGGTCCCATTTGTTTATTTTTTCTTTTGTTTCTCTTGCTTGGGGAGATATAGCTGATAAAATATTGCTATGTCTAAGATTTTACTGCCTATGTTTTCTTCTAGGATTTTTATGCTTTTGGGTCTAATATTTAAGTCTTTATTCCATTTTGAATTTATTCTTGTGTGTGGTGTAAGAAGGTGGTCTAGTTTCATTTGTCTGCATTCTGTATCTGTCCAATTTTCCCAACACCATTTATTGAGTAAACTGTCTTTAGCTCATTTTATGTGCTTGCTTCTCTATCAAATATTAATTGACTACAAAGGTGTGGGTTTATTTCTGGGCTCTATATTCTGTTCTGTTGATCTGCGTGTCTGTTTTTATGCCAATATCATGCTGATTTGATTACTGTCGCCTTATAGTATAGTTTGATATTGAATAGCGTGATTCCTCCAACTTTGCTCTTCTCAGGATACTGTTGCTATGCAGATCTGCTTATGGTTCCATATAAATTTTTCAAATATTTGTTCTAGTTCTGTGAAATACATCATTGGAATCTTGATAGGAGTTTTGCTGAATCTATAGATTGCTTTGGGTAGTACAGACATTTTAATGATGTTAGTTCTGCTTGTCCATGAGCACAGTATGTGCTTCCACTTATCTGTATCTTCTTCAATTTCTTTCTTCAGTGTCTTAGAATTTTCCAAGTACAGGTCTTTTCATCCTTGGTTAGATTTACTTCTAGGTATTTTATTCCTTTTGAAGCCATTGTGAATGGAATTGTTTTCTTAATTTCTCTTTCTGTTAGTTCATTATGGGCATGTAAAAATGCAACTGATTTCTGGCTATTAATTTTGTATCCTGCTACTTCGCTGAATTAATTTATGAGTTCTAGTAGTTTCTTGGTGGAATCCTTGGGATTCTCTATGTCATGAAATCTGCAAATAAAGACAGTTTTACTTCTTTCTTTCCAGTTTGGTTTATTTCTTCTTCTTGTTTGAATGCTATGGCTAAGATTTCCAGTATTATTTTGAATAGAGAGGTGAAAGTGGACATCGCTGTCTTGTTCCCAGTCTTAAAGATAATGTTTGTAGGTTTTGCCCATTGAGTGTGATGCTGGCAGTGGGTTTGTCACATATGGCCTTTATTATGTTTAGGTAGGTTCCCTCTGTTCCCACTTTGCTGAGAGTTTTTATCATAAATGGGTGCTAGATTTTATCAAATGCTTTTTCTATATCTATTGATATGATTGTGTGGTTTTTCTCCTTCATTTTGTTTATGTGGTGAATCACATTTATCGATTTGCAAATGTACCAGCCTTGCATTCCCAGAATAAATCACACTTGATCAACGTGTATGATCTTTTGATGTATTGCTATATTTGGTTTGCTAATATCTTGTTGAGGGTTTTAGCACATATGTTCATCAGGGATATTGGCCTATAATTCTCTATTTTTGTAGTGTCTGTCTATATTGGTTTTGGAATTAGGATAATGCTGGCCTCGTAAAATGAGCTTGGGAGCCTTCCCTCTTCTGAAATTTTTTGAGTAGTTTTAGAAGGAGAGGTGTTAGTTTTTCTCAGAAAGTTTGGTGAAATTCACCTGTGACGCCACTCAGTCCCAGGCTTTTGTTTGCTGGGAATTTTTTGATTAGTGCTTCCCTTTAACTAGGTATAATCTGCCTCATCAGATTCTCTGATTCTTCTTGATTTAGTTTTGTAAGATTATATGTTTCTAGGAATTTATCCATTTCTTTAGGTTGTCCAGTTTGTTGGCGTTTAGTTGTGCATATTATTTTTTTACAATCCTTTGTATTTCTTTGGTGTCAGTTGTTATTTCACCTCTTTAATTTCTGATTTTATTTATTCAGATCATCTCTCTTTTTCTTGATGTGTCTGGTTAAAGTATTGTCAATCTCGTTTATCTTTTCAGAGATCCAGCTCTTGGATTAATTGATCTTTTGTATCTTTTTTTTTTAAGTCTCTATTTTATTTATTTCTTCTCTGATCTTTGTTATTTTTTTCTTCAGCTCAGTTTTGGCTTTGTTTGTTCTTTTTCTAGTTCGTTCATGTGTAAAGTTGGGTTATTTATTTAAACTTTTTCTTGTTTTTTTGAGATAGGCCTGTAATGTTACGAATTTCCATCTTTGGATTGTTTTCCCGTGTCCCACCAATTTTGGATTGTTGTGTCCTCATTTTCATTTGTTTCACAGTATATTTTGATTTCTTCCTTGATTTCATTGTTGACTCATTCATTGTTTATAACATGTTATTTAAGTTCCATGTCTTTACGTGCTTTTCAGTGTTCTTGTGATCAATTTCTAGTTTCATAGCATTGTGATCAGAGAAAATGGTTAATATGATTTCAATCTTTTAAAATTTATTGTGACTTGTTTTGAGTCCTAACATGTGGTCTATCCTAGAAAAGATTCCATGTGTACTTGAAAACTA